TTTGATTGATTAAGGGAAAGGATTGAAAAGGGAGGGACACCACCAGATGACAGATCTTGGCTGTCACAGAATGGGACAGAGCATCTAATATTGTTAGGGGACCACCTGCAGTCTTATCTCTAAATTCATTTAGCTACCTAACAGTATGGTGTCTGGCTAGGAGGGAAGGTGCAGGAAAGGACTTGGATAGGGGTTAGACCTCCCTGGTCCAGTACCCTCTGGTCCCAAATGAGGGATTTTTCTGGACCAAGGGAGGTCATTCAAGCCCCCTGTTGCCACCTCTCTCACTGGGCTTCCTGGCACCTCCTCCCACGCAGCCCAGCTGAGCCCCCTGCTAGTTCCCGGCACATTCCCCCATCCCAGCTGAGCCCAGCACCAATTCTCTGTGCTCTGAGCTGCCCATCTGTTCTGTATGCCTCTCTCCCACAGCCCAGATGAACCCTGTGCCAGGGTTCCTGGTGCCTCTCCCCTGCCTGCAGCCCAGATGAGCCCTGTACCAGTGGCTCTTCTTTGATTTAAATGGCAGAGCCATGCAGGATGGTGCCAGCTGAGCCACCTTTTAAATCTAAGACCACTCGCGTGGCTCTTACTCAGTTTAAAGGGCAGAAGGGTGGAGGAAGGCTGTTGGGAAGGGGGCATGGCCTGGTACTTGCATGCTACTGCTTTGCTGGCTGCTCCCAGAGTCCACCAGAGCAGTCAGGCACAGCCTCCTGCTGCTCCTATTGGCTGGTTCCAGAGCAGCAGGAAAAATCTTTAGGAAGGTCCTTGTGTTCCCCTGAGAGGGAGATGGGGAGGGGAAACAGCAGCACACAGCTGCTTCTAGCTGTGTTGCTGTTTCTGGGACATTTTCAGTGTTTACAGGGCACTGGGTCAGAAGATTAAAATTCAGGACAGTCTTGGATTTTCAGAAGGTATACTCTGCTGCTTGAGGTGATTCCCCACCTGTGGGGCCAAAGGTGAGGCCTCAGCCAGGCAAAGTGATGACTCTGGGTTCTTAAGTGAAGCAGTGTCAGGTGGGGAGATACTTATATTTAGGGAAGGAGTCCTGAGTCCAGGCACCCTGCCATGGTCCCTGCCTGGTGTCCATCGCAGGGGTAAGAGTTAGCCCCCAGAACAAGCACTATGCTGCATAAGAGACACCCTTGCTATTGAACCCAATAGACTCAGGGGCAGGCCCAGCTCAGGAGCCTCAACTACACTTACACAGACTCTCTGGCACAGCACACAGGGAACAGACCTCGCTTGGCCTGGCTGGACAGCCACAGACAATATTCCCTTTAAGCTTTTCCATCCACTTGCAGAATTATTTGTATCATTTGCACTGAGAAATGTGCAATAGAAACAAAATCCAGCTGGGAGGCTTTTGAGTCTCTCCCAAGCAGCTGAACAAGCACAAAGCTCACAGAGAGCACTGCCCACAGATACGTGGTCACACATAGCTCTGCCCTGCTCTGGCTCATTCAAGGCCACGCCTCTTCCTGGGATCCACTGGGAACAGGCCTTAGGTCTCTAGCTTATGTAGGCTCACACCAAGGTGTTGGGAGGGGGGAGGAATGCCAGGCAGAGGCCAGTGATAGAAGAGGCAGCACCTGCCAGGGCAGCAAGGGAGGAGGGGGGACTGCAAGGAACAAGATGTCACATTTCTGCCTGGTTTCCAGCAGGTCCTTTTGTGTGTGAAAGGGACTGTGACCAGCCAATGACAGAGAATAAGATGGGTGGTGAGACCCTGGTGGCAAGAGGATCCAGCCACCTCTTCGCTGCTTGGCTCTGGGTCTTGGCATGGGGCAGGAGAGATGAAGCAATGGAAGGGAGGCAAGGAGCATAGAGTGTCAGTTGCCAGCCGAGAGTCATAGGTGTCCCTCTTGCCTCCTGGAACTGCCCCTCTGAGCCTCCAGCTGCCTGTCTCTTGCTGTGTGCCCTCTTGGGGGGTCTGCTCACTCTGGACTGCAGGGGCTTCTCACTCCCAGAGGGAACAATGCAGCCTTCTTCTCTAGCCCAGAGCGATTCTCAACCAGCATAAAACAGGAGGATTTGTGGTGCATCTGAACACAACACAGGTAACACAGGCTGCAGGTGGCACCATTGAGGGGAGGGAAGCTGACAGTGGCTGCATGTTGGCAGTAAGGGGCACTGCAAGGCCAGAGAGGCAGGGGCTATGGGTCATGAGTGAGGGGCACCATCAAGCTGGGAGATGCCCAGTCTAGTAACAAGGGGTTTGGGGCGGGGAGTGAGGGGCACCACAGAGCTGGGATTGGGGGGGGGGGGAACAAGTAGCACCAGGACTCTTGCCACCAGGGTCTAGCTGCCCAATGCTGGGCTCCCAACCACTTCAGCCACCAAGTCAGCCCAGGATGTACGGCAGGAATGGAGCGAGGAAACAAGTCAAACTGTGGGTGGCAGGAAACAGTCTCATCTTCCTGGGTGGGGCACAACAACAGCCTTTCTGTGTGGCATGGCTGCTAAACATCTCAAACAGAGAATTAGAGGCCAGAAAGGCCCCACCAAAGTAGCTCAGTGGGAGAGTGTTAGACTGAAGAGTTAGAGGTCCCTGGTTTACCTCCAGGCTTTGGCATGTATCTAGGTGTAGCAGGGCCCTCTCTGCTCTCATTGAGATGCTAGTGCCTCTTGTTAGCACATCACCTGTTTTGGCCAGAGCTTGGCAGTGGAAATTCATGTTCATCTGATTAGCCACAAACTCTTCCTCAGAGTTGCTGCCTCCTGCCCTGTAACATGTGGGTGGCAGTCATTGCTAGAGGGATCTATTTACATGTAGCTTTATTAAAACACTCCTTGTCGGCCTGCACCCAGATCAGTATGTCACTGGCTCAGGGGTTTCTCTCCCCAGCACACTGCAGAGAAAGCCCTTGTTTGTTAAAGGGCCTCAGGTAACACAGAGCAAAGGGAACTGGGATTCTAGACCTGTTGACTCCCTGCAACACACACACAGCCCAAGCCCCTTCAGTTTTCCAGTCCCCTGCCCTGACTTGTGTTCCTACCCACATCCTCACCCTGTCCTGAGCTTACTGCACTCCACTCTACACTTTAATGTCTTACGGGTCCTGTCATATCACAACTCCCTCCTGCCTTGAGTGTTTCTCTTGCCCACAGCGGTGTCCAGTACCTGTAAGAAATGTGTTATTCACCCCTGGAAGCAGTTCCACCATGCAAAGGGACTGGCAGGGGCAGGACATTAGCCCTTGAGGGCAAGAATGGGTGTGTCAGGACATCACAAGGCCTTTTGCAGCACCTCAGCTTATTGGCTAAAGGAGGTTGGGAGGTGATGACCTCACAGAGAGTCCATGACAATGGCTAGATGGGACAACCTTCAGGGCAGGAACAATCTCAGAGACCCCTTGTGGCTTTGCTGTAGAAATTTCCAGCAGGCACTGGCAGCCTCTTGACAGCATGACAATCCACCAGGCATCCTTCAGGTGAAGAACAGATAATGAACATGCTGCTTAGATGTAAAAAAACCCTATTTCCTATGTATACACAGGTAAACTCGGGAACATAAAGACAATAAGTCATATGACTTCCTGCAATATCTTACATATTTGATGTTAAGCTTAACTGAATCCTTCACTATAAGAATATAATGTAATGAAGACATAAAAGGGAATTAATATCCACAAGTAACACTGTTAACATCTAACAAGCAATATCCAAACATAATTAGTATGTACATTGAATTCTATAACAGTACAGGCTTGCATTTCAAAGCTCCAGCCTTATCTATCATGGCTGTTAGATATTGAAAAGGAATGGCCTTAATTAACATTTGCATACTTTTCAATTTGGGTAATTTAGCCTGCTGGTTGTATTACCCGCACAAAATACTCACACTCTCTAGGGCCACCCACTGTTACTCATTCCTAGGGCTCAGGTATAACCCTCTCAATGTAGGCACCCACCCTCACCTGTTTCTAGGGCTCAGGCGTAACCTTTCCAATACATGAACCTATCCCTACCTTTCTGCAGGCTCAGGTGTTACTTTACATTTTTCAGTTTTGTGGGGTCTTTTACTGGTGAAAGAGCCTCACACCGTAATATCCTACTTCATCTCTATTTATTAACTATCATCAAAAATAGCTGCACACCCCAGGCATACAGTTCTCATCGCTCTCAATGAGACAGATGAACTCATCTTGATGGGTATCAGGATCAGGTCCATCAAGGGACTCCAGTTTCAGCACGGCCATTGGCACAGGTGATCTGATCTTGGAGCTGTGTCCTAGAATTGGCTCCCAAAGTATTTTCTTTTGTGTCAGTAAATGAAGTTGTGGAATCATCATTCTGTGATTATGGTCCTCACTTTCCTATTGTTTGTCTTTATGATCTCTTTTTTTCATTGTTTCTGTCTGCTGTATAATTAATTTTGCTAGGTGTAAATCAACTAAGATGGTGGTGTCTGGTTAGATCATTCACTATGGCTGTGTCTAGACTGCACCCCTTTTGCGGAAAAGGGATGCAGATTAGACACAGCGCAATTGCAAATGAAGCGGGGATTTAAATCTCCCCCGTTTCATTTGCATGAACATGGCTGTCGCTTTTTTCCGGCTCGGGGCTTTGCCGGCAAAAAGCGCCAGTCTAGACGGGGATCTTTCGGAAAATAAAGCCTTTTCCGAAAGATCCCTTATTCCTAATTTTAAGAGGAATAAAGGATCTTTTAGAAAAGGCTTTATTTTCCAAAAGATCCCCGTCTAGACTGGCGCTTTTTGCCGGCAAAGCCCCGAGCCGGAAAAAAGCGACAGCCATGTTCATGCAAATGAAACGGGGGAGATTTAAATCCCCGCTTCATTTGCAATTGCGCTGTGTCTAATCTGCATCCCTTTTCCGCAAAAGGGGTGCAGTCTAGACACAGCCATAGTGAATGATCTAACCAGACACCACCATCTTAGTTGATTTACACCTAGCAAAATTAATTATACAGCAGACAGAAACAATGAAAAAAAGAGATCATAAAGACAAACAATAGGAAAGTGAGGACCATAATCACAGAATGATGATTCCACAACTTCATTTACTGATAAACAGTTTCTTGCCAGACAATGCTATTAAACTAAGTTTTCTTTACCCATCTTGACATCTGTTTCTTTACCTGGTGATAGTGGGTGCCAATAGGACAGGATCTCCTCACAGTCTGGTGTGACACTATTGTAATACAATTTAGATGGAATGTGAGTATGTGACTCCAGGTTTTACAGCTAATGGCTGCTGCTCTTCATTCTGGTGTCCATTTAGGCCTTCCAATATGGTTGCAGAAAAACTATATTGTTACAATTGATTCATCCTTTGTGGCTCAGGGTCACACATATATAGTACAGACAGCACTACAAATTCCAAGGCCATGCATCAAAAATTATGATTTTTTTTAAACTTTACAGTTTGGTTCCTTTTTGTTTCTGAACTGATATGGAAAATTGCCTCCTGGCTTCCCATAACCAGCAACTCCTACATTCATAAATATGCCAAATATTGCCAGAACCATGCCAAAAGCAGGAGAGCTGGTGATATTTAAGATCTGTATATCACACTGAGATATACATGTCTTGGTATCATAGAACCATAGGGTTGGAAGAGACCTCAGGAGGTCATCGAGTCCAAACCCTTGTACAAAGCAGACCAACCCCAACTCAATTATCCCAGCCGGGGTATTGCCAAGCCAGGACTTAAAAAAACCCTCCCCCCACAATAAACTTGTGACACCCCTCTCCTCCACAATTCCTTTTTCAGTCAGGACCCCTACAATTACAACAGCATGACATTATACATTAAAATGATGAAATGTCTGATTTTTTAAATTATGTGACCCCAACATTGACAAAACTGGACCATGAATTTGACAGACTACAACCAATTCTGGTTTTTTTTTTAGAACTTTCTTCAGTCTCAGGCAGCTTCAAGGCTGTACTACTTTTACTGTTACTAGCAAAATTCTTTCCTTCTGTACCATATGACATTAGAACCTTTTCGTAGTTGGATGGAAGTTGGTGAGTTTATATGACTTGGACACCTTTCTGTTAACATCAGCTACCAGCCAAAGAGTCTAGGGAACAAAGCTGAACTCCAGAGGGGTCAGTGTTCTAGGAAAGCAAGAATTAAGGTCTCTTAGGTGAAATTCCAACAGCTCTGAAGCACAGAAATCCTTATGGCATTTTAGTAATAATTAATTTCCAAAATCTATGTGGACTTTTTAGCATTGGAATTTTCTTCATGACTTAGGTGTATATCATCATACTTAAATGAAGTAACAGAAAAGAAACCATTCAGATTTCTCAAGAAGTTATAATCAAGTCCTGTCATAATGTGGGACTCTTATCTCAGTCCCTTGCTCTGCATGGCGCTGTTCTCTGAAGGATGTTTCATTCCCTGCTTGAATAATGCCATATCTCTCACTCATGGCCAATGCAGGCAAGGCAGACTCTTTGTAGGAATAAGGAAGTATTGTATTTTCTTGGCTCCATCCCTAGCCAGCACACTTTTAACAATGTGTGTCCTGGGTGGATGCATTTAGATCTCATGAGGGATGAGGTGCACTAGAAGGCTTTCCCGCACTTGGAGCACTCTTCTCCAGAGCTTCCCTGAGGATTATTAAGAGCTGAGCTCTCACTGATCTTTTCCCAAATTCATGGCATTTAATGGTTTCTTCCCTGTATGGGTTCTCTGGTGGACAACTGGGGGTATGTTACACTACAGAGTTTTGTGGGAAAAACAGCTAATTTTTCAACAAAACTTGAGGAATGTACACACTGCAACTGCATTCTTCTATAAGAAAACTGAAAGCACAGAGGGTTTTCCTGGCATTGGTAATCCTCATTCTATGGGGAAGAAGCCTTTTTGCAAAAGAACTCTTTCGCAAAAAGGCATGTGTGGGTGGGGAAGAAGGAGTTCTTTCAGAAAAAGAGGAAAGAGGAAAAAGCATAGGTGCCCTGGTGGCCATTCCATCCATAGCAATCATAGCTTACATGTGAGAGAGCGTCCATTCAGTCTGGACACTCTCTTTCGAAAAAGCAGATTGCCTTTTCAATGTACTTTTGCAGTGCTGACACTCTCAGAAGAAGATTTTTCAGATCTCTTCCAAAAAAAAAGCTTCTTCTGAAAGAAGCCTGTAGTCTGACCTCTGACTGAGGCTTTTCCTACCCTTGGTAATTCATAAATGTGATGGTCTCTAATGTTATGGACTTACATAACATTGTTGCAACCACTGTCATATGTTTGCACCAAAACTTGTGCAAAGTGGGCCAAGTGAGATGTCTACAGAAAGCTTATGATTCCCTGATTGTTTATACTGCTCATATGCATGTATCCTCTTTGTACTTGAAGTTATGAGTATTGGCACTGTACTTGCATTTCACGTTTGTTTCTGGGAGATGATCAACAAGTTTGATATTGTGCAAGGTTTCTGGGAGACTATCAACAAGCACTCATCTATTGTACAAGGTTTACTTGTTAATAGCAGTACTTGAGTGACAATGCACCTCAGGTGGTGCAAATCCACAGCTGAAGACTTTGTTGTGTACCTTCACACCAGCACGTAAGTCATGGCTGCTTGCCTAAAAAAATCTGCAGCGTGCATGGAAAAGTGATTTGCTCGTGACAGAATCCATTTTGGAAGGTACTTTTACAGGAGAACAATGAATTCCCTCCACATAGGCAAGGATATAAAGAGGGCTCCAGAGGTTCATCCATCATTGTTTTCATTCCAGCTCATCACTTCAGGAGCATTTTTGTTATGAATTGAACCCAAAAAGACTGATGTATTCAAAGGCTGTATTCCAGAGATGTTTAATATATCAGTTTATTCCATCTCTGCTACAAGCCTACACCAGGAATTTTGTAATCAGTGTATTTAATTTGTTTCCTTTAACAATTTTACTCACCATTTCCTTTCTTTATTCATAAGCCTTTCAATGTTATATTCAAAAAGACTGGCATCATGTGCATTTCTGGGTAAGATCTAAGGTTTAAATTGACCTGGAAATGTGGCTGATCCTTTGAGATTGGGAGAACCTGTCCAGATTTCGTGAGACTGGTTTTCATAACCTCTCCTCTGTGTAGAGTATGGTACTGGTTGTGAAACAGCAGAAGCTGACATGTTTAAGGGGATAGGTTGTGTGTCTTCTTGCTGGCCGGTGCAGCAAATAGAAGTGCTCTTTGTGACTGATTTGGTGCACTTTATAGTGGAGGGTCCCCAAGCTTGGGCTATAAGTAGCCCTGTCTTTGAGCAATTCACCGATTGGACCCTCTCAGCAGTGCTCCCAGAAACCCTCTTATATTACAATAGGGTCTCTCTCATCTTTGGGTACTCCAATGTGATATAATGTGCATGTGATGGGGTGCCTGCACTCTGGCTGGTCCAGTGCCGGCACTGTGGGTGGAGCAGGCCCCGCAGCACCGCTAGTGCTGCGCATGCTCCCTGGTGTCCAGGGAGCTTAGCATCGGCCTGGCATTAAGAGAGGGGGGTGAGGTGCAGAAGCACGTCGGCATCACGCTCCCATGCATGGGAGGCGTCCCGGTGGGAGATTTAAACCCACCAGGTGAGCTGGGAAGGAGGCTGCCAGAAGACGCCACGTGCTGTGCCAAGCCTGGGCGGAGAGCACCACAGAAGGGAGAGAGCCTCCTATGCATGGGCTCCACTGACCACTCCGTGGGAAGAGTGGATGGGGCCCAGGGCTCTCCGGTTCAGGGCTTGCCATGAAGCAACAGCCCTGGGAGTGGGTTTTTTGTATACCACCCCCAGACAGATGGTCTAGTAGAAAGGTTTAACAAGACTCTAAAAAGTAGGCTATGTCGATTTGTGGACAAGGACAAGATTTGTGGACAGGGACTGGAACAAACTGTTGCCCGCTTTATTGTTCACAGTCCAGGAGGTACCTCAGGCATCCAGGGGTTCTCACCATTCGAATTATTATATGGACGCCAACCCCGAGGCATACTAGACATCATAAAGTAAACATGGGAGGAACAAGAATCTAGGGTACAGGTATCAGTTCAATATATACTGGGCCTAAGAAAGAAACTTCAGACCCTGGGGGAGTTTGCAAACTCAAATCTTTTGAAGGCCCAGGAGAGGCAGGTCCATTATTATAACCAGGGAGCCCAGTTGAGAACATTTAAACCCGGGGACCAGGTGTTGCTTCTACTGCCCTCATAGGACTCCAAATTACTAGCGAAGTGGCAAGGATCTTTTAAAGTATGGCACCATGTCGGGGAAGTAGATTACGAGATCCAACTCTTGGGGAAGCAGCAGGGTACCCAGATCTATCATGTAAATCTCTTAAAGGGGTGGTGCCCCCGAGAAGATCAAGCCCTGTCAACCTGAGCTGGAGCTGGGCCCATGGGGCGGAGAAACAGGGGATTCCCCACCTGTCCAACTAGGGGAGGAGTTGGACCTGAGCCAGCAGGACGATCTTCTATGACTGTTGCAGACGTTTCCCCGGGTCCTTTCTAAGGAACTAGGATGAATAGCCTGGGCCTACCACCATGTCACAACTGCACCAGGAAAAAAGGTATGAGACCCCTGTGGGTCTCTGTGTGGAAGGAGTTACAGTGCCGGACCAAGCTATACTTGCACCCCGGGTGCACGGTCCCTGATTAACATGGTAAGGGGTGCCGCAGTCCTGCCCCTGAGCACCAACCTATGGGGGGCACCTGATTGAAGTGGTAAGGGGCACCATTCACCTGGGCGTGTGGCATATGTGCGGCCCCACCCCCGGGTACGCAGCACCCCTTACACTTCAATCAGGTGCCCCCCATAGGTTGGCGCCCCAGGCAGCTGCCCAGCTAGCTCCCCCCCACCCTTAATCTGGCCCTGGTTACAAACCAGGTGGTGGAGGAATCGCATAGCTATTGGCAAAGTCCCATAGTGCTGGTACCCATGGGGGACAGGTCCATCTGCTTTTGTATCAACTTCCGCAAGGTAAATGTGCTATACCATTTCAATGCCTACACAATGCCCAGAATGGACAAGCTCTTAGAACATCTAGGAGATGCACACTATAGATCTACCCTTGACTTAACTAAGGGCTATTGGCAAATCCCACTAACTCCCGTGTCTAAAGAGAAGACGGCATTCCCCGTCCCTTTTAGGTTGTACCAATTCGTGACCATGCCCTTTGGTCTGCATGGAGCTACCATCACCTTCCAGAGGTTAATGGACAGGGTTCTCTGGGAACATCGCTATTACACCACTGCATACATAGACGTCATAGTGATGTTTAGCTCTACATGGGCTGACCATCTACAGCAGTTGGTAGCAGTGCTCACAACTCTGAGTGACATGGGCTTACGGTGAACCTAGGCAAGTGCTACTTTGGACACCACAAGGTATCGTACTTGGGGTGAGGCAGGGCAAATTAAAGCCTTTGGTAGATAAGGTAGGTGACATCCAAGACTTCCCCACATTGATGACAAAAAAGCAGGTATGCCAGTTTTTGGACTGGCAGGCTACTACCAGCATTTCATTCCCAATTTTGCAACACTGACAGCCCCCTTAACAGATTTAATCTGTAAGACCCAACCAACGAAAGGGTGGTGGACTGAAGAGGGGGAGCAAGCGTTCCTATCACTAAAGGAGTAGTTGACCCATGCCCCTGTTCTGACCCAAGTGGACTTTACAAAACCATTATAAAGCAGACTGATGCTTCGGAGGTTGGGTTGGGGATGGTGTTGTCACAGGAAGTGGAAGGAGAGGAGCACCCTGTCCTCTATATAAGCTGAAAGCTGTTTCCATGGGAGCAGAAATATGACACGATAGAGAAAGAGGTGCTGGCTATGAAATGGGCTATAGACGTGTTGAGGTACTATCTTCCAGGCAGTCAATTCCAGCTGATTACAAACCACGCGCCCCTCCAGTGACTGCACACCATGAAAGAGATGAATACATGCATCATGAGATGGTACCTGTCCTTGCAGTCATACTGCTTTGAGATGACACATCGGTCAGGTAAAACCCATAACGCAGACTTTTTCTCTAGAGCAATGAGGGAGGAAGGGGAAGAGGGCCTAGGCCTAACCTGGATGGGGGGTGTGTGCTGGGGCACCCGCACCCCACACTCCGGCCGGTCCAGCACCGGCACTGTGGGCAGAGCAGGCCCCACGGCGGCGCTGCCAGTGCTGCGCATGCTCCCTCATATCCAAGGAGCTTAACATTGGCCCAGCATCAAGGGAGATGGGCAGGGCAGTGCCACGCCCCCACGCACGGAAGGCGTCCTGGCGGGAGATTTAAACCCGCTGGGCACACTGGGAAGGAGGCTGCCAGGATGCCATGCGCCGTGCTGAGCCTGGGTGGAGAGCACCACGGCTCTTACGCATGGGCTCCACTGATGTCCTCACAGGGAGAGTGGACAGGGCCCAGGGTGCTCCAGCTCAAGGCCTGCCATGAAGCGACAGCCCTGGAAGTGGGCTTTTTGGGTGGAGCCATGCACTGGAAGGAAGGTTGGAAGTAGCCCAGGGTGGGGCCTTGGATATTGGCCCACGGGCTGGTGAGTTTCAGGTGGAGTCCCCGTCAGCCAGATCAGACGTGGATTCCTCCAGTCCTTAGGGCCCTGAGCTGAGTTCCAGTAGAGGGGGAGGGTCCTGGTCCCCCTACCCCTCTGACAGCAGTGTCTCGGTCGTTTGGAACCAATAGGACCCGACCAATGCTTCAGACTGTAAAACTGTGCCTGTTGGGGAGATTTTGGGGAATTCAAGGGTGGTTGGGGCTACTCACTAGGGTGTGGGGTTGAACTCCCGAGCTGGGGGAAGGGATGGTTGGACGCACACTGTACCCACTCAGAGGAGGGGCAGTGGGAGGTGTGTGACACTGACTAAAGCTTTCTCTGATTAAACTACAGCTTTTATCTTTCTCTCCTGACAGACGTTCAAGGAGGTATCAGCCCTGACTGAACCTTTGCCCACAGTCTGAGCAGTTATAGGGATTTTGTCGTGTATGAACTTCTGATGTGCAATATGGTGTGAGCGTTCACTGAAGCTTTTCTCACAGTCAGAGCAGCTGAAGGGTTTCTCTCGTGTGGATTCTCCTATGTCTAACATGGTCTGACCTCTCATTGAAGCCCTTCTCACAGTCAGAACAGTTATACACAGTGTCCCATCTAATTTTTTCCCAAAGTTGCAGATTGAATTTTGTTAAAGGCACCAATATGTGCGACATATTATCCATATTGGTGCACAGAAGTTCATGTGGCAGGAGTTGGGCTGGGCCTCAGGATCTTGTATTATGGGAAGGAGGCTCAGGGCTGGGCCAAACAGCTGGGGACTAGGGGCTCAGGGATGAGACAGAAGCTTTAGGATGAGGGCTTGGGCTCGGGGTGTGATCTCTGAGGTGGGCCAAGGATGAAGGGCTTTGAGGGGTAGGCCACCAAAGGACGATGTAGGAGAGAGAAGATCCCCCCCCCCATCAGCTTCCTCTCCCCCAGCTCTGATGCTGCTGGGGGGGGAGGGAGGCATGTTTCCCTGTCATGGCAGCTCTGGGACTGCGGCATAGCCAGCTGTGTGCTGGTTATTGCTGGTCTGGGCAGGAGTTGAAACCAGTGAGTAGAGGCATCAATCTCCACCACAGCCCTAAGAGCTTGCTAGGTATTTATTAGGCTGTAGCAAAGCTGTATGACCACACAACTTAAAGGGGACTTAGATTATGGGGTTCCTCTCATGTGGATTCTCCTATGTCTAACAAGTTCTGACCTCAGAATGAACCTTTTCCTGTGGTCAGAGAAGTTACAGGATTGCACTAACAGGAATGTTGTGAGCAAGACACAAGAAGTAATTCTTCCACTCAACTCTGCACTGAGGAGGCTTAATTGGAATATTGTGTTGAATTCTGGGCACCACATTTCAAGAAAGATGCAGAGAAATTAGAGAGGGTCCAGAGAAGAGCATAAAATATGATTAAAGGTCTAGAAGACATGACCAAAAAAGGAAGACGGAAAGAACTGGGTTTGTTTAGTTTGGAAAAGAGAGGACTTAGAGGGGACATGATAGCAATTTTCAAGTACCTAAAAAGATGTTTCAAGGAGGAGGGAAAAAATTGTTCTTAAATTACAGCAAGGGAGGTTTAGGTTAGACATTAGGAAAAACTACATAACTATCAGGGTGGTTAAACACTGGAATAAACTGCCTAGGGAGGTTGTAGAATCTCCATCATTGGAGATATCTGAAAGCAAATTAGACAAACATCTACCAGTGATAACAAAGGGTGCTTGGACCTCCTGTCAGGGCAGGGGGAATGGACTTAACCTCTTGAGGTCCCTTCCAGTTCTAGTGTTCTATTATTTGATTTTATGATTCTATGATTCTCCTGTGTGGATTATAGGATGATTGTTAAGATTTGAGGGCCAAATCAAACTTTTCTCACAGTCAAAAGGTTTTTCCCTTGTGTGAATTCTCCAATGTTTAACAAGGCCTGACCTCTCCCTGAAGCTTTTCCCACACTCAGAACAATCAAAGGGTTTCTCTCCTGTGTGGATTCTTCCATGTGTAACAAGGTACGAGCTCCTACTGAAACTTATCCCACAGTCAGAACACCTGAAGGGTTTCTCCCCTGTGTGAACTCTCCTATGTGTAACAAGACTTGAGCTCCTACTGAAGCTCTTTCCACAGTCAGCGCAGTTGAAAGGTTTCTCGCCTGTGTGGATTCTCTGATGACTAATAAGATGTGAGCGTCCACGGAAACTTTTCCCACAGTCAGAGCAGCTGAAGGGTTTCTCCCCTGTGTGAATTCTCCAATGTTTAACAAGGTGTGAGCGCCCATGGAAACTTTTCCCACAGTCAGAGCAGCTGAATGGCTTCTCCCCTGTGTGGATTCTCTTATGTATGACAAGCTGTGAGCCCCTATTGAAACTTTTCCCACACTCAGAGCAGCTGAAGGGTTTCTCTCCAGTGTGAATTGTCCTGTGTCGAACAAGTTGTGAACTCTCATTGAAGCTTTTCTCGCAGTCAGAGCAATTGAAGGGTTTTTCTCTTGTGTGGTTTCTCTTATGTCTAATTAGACTTGAGTGCTGACTGAAGCTTTTCCCACAGTCAGAGCAGCTGAAAGGTTTCTCCCCTGTGTGGATTCTCCTGTGTGTATTAAGATGGGAGTTCCAACTGAAGCTTTTCCCACAGTCAGAGCAGCTGAAGGGTTTCTCTGCTGTGTTGATTCTCCAATGTCTAACAAGGTCTGATCTGTCACTGAAGCTTTCCCCACAGTCAGAGGAGTTGAAACATGGCTCTCTGTGGATTCTCTGATGTCTAAAAAGATTTGAGCTCCTACTGAAGCTTTTCCCACAGTCAGAACAATAAAAGAGTTTCTCCCCAGTGTGAATTCTGCTATGTCTTTCAAGGTCTGACCTCTTACTGAAGCTTTTCCCACAGTCAGAGCAGTTGAAGGGTTTCTCACCTGTGGGGATTTTATGATGTTCAATAAGAGTTGTACAGTCATTGTAAGTGGAGGGTGCTTGTTGATGGGGGATTTTCTGTTGAACCGCTTCTGTATTTATTTTCACTCCTCTGCCCCAGTGACTGGATTTGCCTTGTCCCTCCTCTGGATGTTTTCCCTGCTGCCTGTCTGGGCTATGCTGACTCTTACAGGTTTCTCCCTGCTCAGGTATCTGGGAAACATGCCCTTCAGAACTTCCCAATAACATCCCATGTGGAGCCACTTGCTCCGGTGCTTCCTGATGAAGACTCTCCTCATTGTTCTCACTCAGCGTCCCATCACCTGCTGGGACAGAGAATCCAGACAGGAGTCATTCTCTGTGCTAAGCTGAAAGGAAAACTCTGAAAGGGGAATAGAAAAGGGGGAACATGCCCAAATAATGGCTGGAAAGTTCAATAATCATGAGTTGAGTCCATAACCCTTCCCCAAAAGAAAGAACTCAACCTTTGTCTCCACCCTCAAACTGGAATTGAAGAGACAGAAGTTAGATTTGATGAAAATGCACAAGTGATGCTTTCTGTGATGACACAGAAATTGGTTTCTGAGTCAGTTTAGCTGAGTGCTCACCTGTGTGGGTGTCGGTGATGTTCTCCCCTTCCTCTAAGCCCTGGAGATCCGGGATCCACAGCTCCTCCCCTTGCTCCACCCAGGAGATCACATGAGCTTTGAAGACTGGAAATCCTGCCCAGGGAGCAATTAATCAAGTGCTGATCTTGTTCATTAAGGTCCATGCCATTACTGCTTCCACAGCCAGGATCTGAATCACCCACCCAGAAAGACTTCTCCCCACCTTTCAAAGACTGGGTTCTGGATGGGACAAGATCCCAGGAAACACTCACCTACAGTAAAAGTGCATCGCCCCTGCCTTAGGAATGGCCCAGCTTATTCCCTGTGGGAGATGAGTGTTCTGCTGCTCCCTTGAGGGAGTGTTTCTCAAAGTGCGGTCCATGGACCATTAGTGGTGCGCAACCATCTTGCAAGTGGGCCACAGGTTTGGAACTTGCCTCCCAGCCACCAATGTGGAGCCAGCGCTGGTGCTATGGCCCTGAGCCCCCTCCAAGGCTGGAGTGCCAGCACCAGCTTCCCACTCTAGGGATGGGGAGGGGGAGGGAAGGCAGCAAGCCTTGTGGACAGAATACGACTTGTAGAAGGAAATGGCTCTGTGTGCTGTCACTCCCCCTCTCTCTGGCTGGAAAACACTCACCTCAAGTCTTTCCCTGCTGCTCCCATTGGCAAAAATTATGACCAATGAGAACAGCAGGGGATGGAGTGGTAGGAAGTGTTGGAGCCAGGTAAGTGACCTCTCTTCCCCTTCCACTGAGATCTCGCACCCCTATTCCTCTCACATACTCCCCTCCCGTCAAGACCCTGCATGCCCAACCCATTCCTGCCCCCACCCTTCTGGACAGAACCATTGTCCTCAAGCTGCTTCTGCACCCTGCCTCCTATCTAGACCCTCACTCCCAGCACACTCCTAAACCTAATCTCCCACCCAGACCGCTCATGCACCCTAGCTCCCACCCAGACCACCCCCCTTCCTTCTATACCCATTTTGTCATCACAGGTGACTGGCTTGTGGTTCATGGAAAGGTTTGCATTGAGTGGTGTGGGCCATGGGCCAAAAAAGTTGAGAACCACAGCTCCAAAGTACAACTAAGTCTCCCTCATGGCCCATTCCATCTCTCCACCCATCTCAGGGCAGGACAGGAACATGCTGTTCAAAAGGTGAGCTTCAGCGATGGTTTGCAGGTCTGACACTAAGGCCCACAGACAGGGCTCAGACTGCAGCAGCCACTTGGCAGGTCACTAGAACTTGGGGGAAAAAAAAGACCCAGCAATTCCCAGCTCTAGCTTCCCCGAGGGCTCTGTCCAGAAAGCTCCTGGCTGGGGGGCTTGGATCAGCTCACCCTGCTTCTTGGCTTGGATGCTCTACTTGAACCAGGAGGAGGAAGAGGAAGTTGCCTGGTTAATAAGGCAAATCCTTGGCTGGCTGCTTCAGACCCTGTATATGCTCCACACTCCTGACCCCTAAATTGTGGCTGGGGGGGCCCTGCCAGCTGCCCACAATAGCTGCTGCTCCAACTGCTGCTTCTATGTCTGGCCTTGGTGGTGTTTGGCTGTGCTGCTTCTTCAGGGAGGGAGGCTGGGTTAGGGCCATATCTGCATTGTTGCTGCAGCTCAGCTCCCCTTCTGCTGCCTCGGTTCTACTCTGCCACCAGCAGCAGCAGCAGCTTCTTTGTGTGGATTCCAGCCTTCCTCATGGCCAACATGGCCTTCCATTTGTTGCCCCTCTTGGCTGCACAGACTCTACCGTTTACTCTGTACCTTGTGGGCACATTCCTCACACCTTCAGCCAGATCCCTTCTCGGACCTTCATTTAGTACTGGGAAGATCCCACTGTGATGTTACAGAATTAAAATATGACCATGTAGTTCATTTGTGTTACCGCTGTTACACAATTACAACAAAACATGTGCTAAGTGTGTCGTGTGCAGTGTCAATGGGAACGTTCTGACATGGTGACTGTGATTATCCTGTCTGTGTGTGGACATCATTTTTGTACCTCAAGTTATGAATATGGACCATGAACCAATATTTCAAATATAGTTGCTGCTGCGGAAATACCCACACTGTAGTTTGCATCCAGTCCACCCTGCACACTGTGAATTGACCATTCAGAGTGATGGTCCATCAACAAAACCCATGCGCCATGGAAATCTCATCCTCACCAGACATATGTTCTCATAGACTTCTCCGCCAGACGGTGGGCAATGCCTGCCATGGCTCATCGGGGCAGCCAAGGGTATGTGACTAGCTCATGTGACACTAAAGTCCATCTGGCCCCAATGTTTTTCAGCTCACGGTGCTGGGGCATTTGCTGGGAACAATGAGGTCCCTTCCAACAAACCTATTGGCCTAGAACTGCAGAGAATTCACTGCTTGGGGATTGCTCTATAATTCTAACAGTGGAAAATAGTGGGGGTGTCACATTCCTCTTTCCCCATCACAGTTAAAAGGTCTGAGCTATGCCAGGAATAACTTTGACAATCAGGAGGTAATTAACACCAGCTCCTCACCCCAGCCTCAGAGATGCCTCAAGAAAAGGGAAGATGAGCTTGGATTAACCTTGCTCTTGGCATCCACCCCCTGTGCAGCCTGCTCCCCCCTTTCCAGTCTGGCCCTGGGAGAGAGAGTCCAGTGTCTCCTCAACACAAGCAACTGCAGCCCAGTTGGGGCTGGGATGTCCCAAACACCCACCCCCACCTCATCCCACTGACCCTGCCACCCTCTCCCTATTCTCCCAAGCTACCCTACCCACTCCCTATTTCCCCATCACATGACCTTCTTCCACATCCTCTGCAGGGTCCAGGAGGCACCTCATTAGTGGAAGCCCACCTGCGCGGCTCCACTCACTGAATCTGTGGCCATTCACTTCTTCATGCACAGCTGCGCAGGCAGGCACCTCAGAGCGGCAGTTTCCAACTGCTGGTTCGTGGACCAGTGGTGGGCCATAAACTGCTGGTTGTGAGGCCATGACACACTGTCCAAGCACTCAGGCGGGTGTCACGCTAGAACCCAGCAGCAGCCAGCAGGAGTCTGAGAGCCCATTGCTCACTAGGACCCAGTGGCAGCAGCAGGCACTAGGGGAAGTGATCTCTGGCTCAGGTCCAGCAGCAGCAAGAAACTGGCAAACTCTGCTTGCAGGGACTCTGGGGCCAGGCTCTGGGCCAGATCCCCGAGCCCCAGGGCAGCACTGCTGGGCCTCTGCAGCCCAGGCTGCAGCTGGGAGGGGGGAATCTCCTGCAGGGCCTGTGGTATGTAGAAAGCTGCTTACCGGGAACAACTCCCAGGGCAGCACCCTCAGCCTGGCCAGCCCCTGCCTCAGGGCAGGCAGTGCTTGGAGACAGGTCAGAGACACCCCACCACCATCCCTCTGGAAGCAGGCCCCCCTACAGGGGGAGGGTTTGGCTCCAGGCTGCTCCCAGCAGATCTGGCTGAGATGCCTGCCTGGGCCCAGGGAAGCCGCTGTCAGCTCCAACCATGTAAGGGGAGCCAGCCCTGGTGGGGGACAGGAGGGTGTGAAGAGGGGCAAGACAGACAAGATGGCTGATGGGGAACAGGGATTTATGAGGTGGGGGCAGGAGGGAGTGCAGGAAGCGCTGAAGGGAGGTTGGGGAATTCAGAGGAGACTGATGGGGCAGATGGGAACAGGAGTGCAACGGAGGGAGACTCTGAGAGGAGGTTATGGGGCAGAAAAAGGAGGATTTGGGGAAGGGAAGCTGGAGGGAGAGTGTGGGAGGAAGAGCAGCCTGGCTGGGGAAGGAAGAGACGCAGGGCAGGGGTTATACAGAAGGGGAGGGTGAGATACATTGGCAGCTCCCCAACTCCATCGAGCAGGAGGTGGGGAGGGCAGAGGTGACTGGTGATAGCACTTGGGGGTACCAGCTCCTATGCCCAACAAAATTTCTAAAGTTTCCAAATAGGGTGCCCCAAATGCCCCTGCGGGTGCCCCTCCCTGTGCTGGCACCAGTCACCCCTGGGGGAGAAGCTGCCCCACCCAGCAGCCAGAAGGGAAAATGTTCTGGGGTTTTTTTTAGTGTAGATATTTGCAAACTCTGATCTGTTAGGGACTGATAACAATGTATTTACATATTCATTATTTACATAATGATTAGGAAAAAATGCAAATAAAATGAAAGGTCTGCCAAAAGTTTGTGACTGGGTTTGGTGGTCCTCGGTATAAAAAATGTTGGGAACCACTGCCTTAGAGGGAACACTGGCAGAAAGGAAGAAGGTGCTGACGGAACAGCAGCAGCAGAGCAATCCAGCAAAGGAGGGGCTGCCCAGAAAAGCAGCAACTGCAGCAGCAGCCCACCAGGGTTCCAACAGGAGCCTCAGTGGCACCAAACCCAGCAATCCCACAGGCTTCTCTCTGTGCTCCACAGAACAGCAGGGATCTCAGCAGCAGCTTGCCATGAACTTGCCACAGTTCACGGCAAACCTGTGCTCCCCAATCTCCTCTAGAGACTGACACAGCAGACACACCATTCTGCTGGCAGGCCAGAAGGATTGCTAAGGAAAGGGAAAGAAAGATGAGGAAGAAATGTGCAGTGGCAGAATGGAGATTGGTAAATAGAAACTCCATTTTCACTTGTTCATTCTAGTTAATGTCCTGATCTTCACAACCTCCTCTGGCAAGGAGTTCCACAGGTAGATGGTGCACTGTGTGAAAAAAAACTTCCTTTGGTTCCCTTTAAACCTTCTGCCTATTAATTTCATTCATGATCCATAGTTCTTATGTTATGGGAACAGTAAATAACTTTTCCTTACTCCTTTTCTCTATATCCGTTATGATTTTATAGACCTCTGGCATATCCCTCCTTTAGTCTCCTCTTTTCAAGGATGAAAAGTCCTACTCTTTGTAATCTCTCCTCATATAACACCCGTTCTAAGCCTCTAATCATTTTTGTTGCCATATTCTGAACCTTTTACAATGCCAATATATCTTCCATGAGATGAGACAACCACATCTGTACGCAATACTCAAGAAGTGGGAGAAACATGGATTTATATAGAGGCAATAAGATATTTAAAAAGGGATAGAGAATAAGACAGAGAATGATTCCTAAGATTCTGTTTGCTTTTTTGACTACTGCTTCACATTACATGGATGTTTTCAG